GCACCCCTCTAAGTTGTGGGCCCAGCTATAGTCTTTCATGATTTCCATTGAATCTTAATGATTTTGTTGATCTCCTGTCTATTCCTCTGGCACCGCCAGCGGTCTAAAATTTTTGGTTTAGAGTGCAATGTGTCAACAACTAATGACTTGTCATTAAAAGGTCTTTGTTGCAAATTGTAGCCACAATTATTATTATTAGTCCCATATTATTATCATTAATAAGGTTATCATTAGTAGTACTATTTTGATTTCATTTGTACTGCTGTCTGTACCACTGCCAGCTTTCCTGTTTTGATATTGTGTTGGGCTGCTTCTCTCTCTCTCTCTCTCTCTCTCTCCTGCTTCCCATTCTGACACTGGGAGCTGTCCCATTGGCCACTGAGCATCTCCACTAGTGTTGTTGGTGGGTCAGTTAATGAGACAGACATGTTAATGGTAGATCTCTGTCACTCATCCGATTTCTTCACTCACATTTACCCTACCAATTTGGATTTATACTGGAGACTTTCTGGTCATGAGACCACCTTATTAAACCTCCATATTGCTGTCAATGAAATGAGAATTACATTCATTAAAATGCACTATGGCCGCTCTGCTTTGCCTTACATTTGTAACACCATAGCATGTAAATGATCACTTTAGTGTTGCTAAACCCTTACTACTTGTCCTGAGAGCATGTTGACTCCCCTGACCAAGCTGATTTATGAAACTGAGTGGTCTTCCCGTCATGGAGCAATGACTTTGCAGTTTTGGATGAAAGCTTAAGGGCCCCACAAGCAGCCAGAACCTCTCACAACAACGTAAACTAGTCCTTTGCTCATGTCTATGGATCAGGAAATACCAGATACATGTTGGGTTGGGTGTTCTCAGACAAGTGATGGGATTTGTGATTGTTCATGGGATACGTCAATAATTTAATTTTTTTTAAATTCTTTTTTATAATTATAAAAAATATATATAATTTAAGTACAACACTTTTCTGTATTCTCTATTTTGCCTAGACTGGTATTCTGCCATTCAAAGCGGCTGTAAAATGAACAGGACTGGCTATTGTGTAAGGAGGAGAACAAGTTTTCCATAGACCTGTTTTTCCCTCACTGCCAGCCAGTCATAACTGAAGGAAATGTGATACCTTTGATAGAATGCCCAAATGCTTTCAGTGGCATAACAACACCATCATCAGTGTGTTTTGTCTGACATTTGTCTGTCTGACATATTGATTTGACACAACGTGACCGGACAGTCTAAAGAATCACATCCGGCAAACTCTAACACGCATGAAATCATAAATAAATAACGTTTTGATGACGCAGGTATAGCCTCAGTATGTCATACCCATCATGAATAAGTAACTTTGTGTTTGGGCAGGGAACACCATAGAAGCAAGGAGTATTAACTGCAGTTACTGTTGCTGTATATTTGTGATGCAGTTTCAGTTCATTCCATCCATTAGATAAGACAAGTCTAATTTTATAAAATGTGTCAACATATGTCAGTGGACTTTTTCATAGCAAACATTTTAAATTGAAAATCACAGGTGTTACTAATAAAATTAAAGCAGCTATCATCTGTATCTTTATAGTAACAGTAGCACACATAATTACTTGTGAAAGGAGCCGGCAGTAGGGATGAACCCACAGAATTACCTGACCTGTTATTCACCTCAACTCAGTGGAGCTTTATTGCATCTTTCAGGAATATTTCCCCATGTTGCGTTTGTATCACTTTGCCCAATATTGCATCATTGCTATCACATGAACCATTAGCTTAGCTGGCTAACATATAGGTTCTCCATTTAGCTGCCCCTCTCTTAATTGTATGTCTATAAAGTGTCTTTGTGAAACATTGTGCAAGTGTAATAGAAATAAAATGGACACACTTGTGGAAATCTAGAAACTCTGTGGAAAAAAGTTTGAAAGAAGGGGAGGGTTGCCCTTTATTTTTTCAGGGTAGACCAACAGCCCCTCCAAAGGTCTCTGCACATCCATATATTAAGGATTTGAGGCAGTGCTTGAAGTGGAAAGAAATAGGTGCCAGTACTCCCCCCATCCTCATCCTCAAGGTGAAACTAGTAAATATTATAACTGGACTATATTATTATATCTACTATGTTTGATGTGAAACATAGCCCATACATACGATACCACCAGTGCTACTGAGCTTAATGGCAGTGCAAGACCCAGTAGACACTGATGAACTTAGTTCTCAATAAAAAAGACTGATAAAGTGATTATGAACCAAAGCTTAAACCTTTATTAACAGCCAGACAAGAGATTAAGAGACAAAACAGTTGATAGCATCACTTTTCTCAACCAGCGTCTTTATGAGTGAGCTAAACATGTAATGATAGAAAATACTTTTAATGTCTGAGTGTCTTTTTGGAAAAGTCAAAATGTCTCTGTCAACCTGTGCTGGTTTTACTGCTCACCACATCAACGTGTAACTGGTCATTAAGGACTGATGGCCAGTCAGCTGGATCCACTGGAGGAGTAGAAACTGCATCCCATGTGGTAGTAAGCACGATGGTACTGCTCTCCACTTCAGTAGGCACAGGTAGACCTATGAGTTAGAGAATAACATGGAAAATAAGTAATTTTAGTAAGTTTGACGTGTTCATGCACTGAGTGTTCCTAGAGGTGAATAATTGTTCAGTTATTGTTGATGTAGGCCTAAACTTACCAGCACTGTCATCTTCTTGGATGAAACCAATGATGGAGGTAGAGGTGGAGGCTGATGAAATAATAAAATGTGGGCCGGTACGCACTTGATGGCAGCTCACATTAGGCCAGGGGTTTTCAAAGTGTGAGGCGGGCCTCCCTAGGAGGGCTCCAAACAGTTTCAGGGGAGGTTCAGTGAATGGAAGTGAAACAATATTGCATTAGTTATTGCTTTAGTTATCAAAAGGAGATCACATAGAATAGCACAAATGTGTGAGAGTTCAGAGAAAGTGGTTTTTGAGAACTGTGATTTCCCCCATCGGAGTCAGAAACTACTAAATGCCTTAGGACCAGTATTTGGTGTAGTCAGAAGTTATGTCAAACAGCAATATTAGGCTATTTTGCAGAGCCGGTGTGACACCAAAATGTGACAGATTCTGTGACCCAAATGCCAAGTAAAGTATGTCAGAGGCTTTGTTGTGTGATGTGAAGCAGCTGCAGTTTGGTTGGGTTTAAGCTCCAAAAGTACTTGGTTTGGTTTAGGGACCAAAAGTACTTGGTTATGGTAAGGAAAAAATCATCGTTTGGGTGTAGTCACAGAATCTGATAGGTCACAGATTTTGGTGTTACACAGGCCCAGCCACTAAGCGACCATTGCGGTGGCGTAGGGCCCCGTGGCCAGCAGAGGGCCTGCTACAGTCACTGCTTGATAGTGGTGGGAAAAAATCACTGAAAAAAGAAATGTAAAATAATAAAAATAAAATGAAAGACAGCTCTTTATATTACGTACCATAATAAGCATAGTGGTTATTTAATTTAGTTATATAGGCCACTTTGGAAAATCAGCTGTGACCCTCAGGGTCCATCAGGCTTGATGTCTGACAAGAGAAGATAATATTTGTCTGGACATGTAAAAAGACAACAGAAGAGAGGAGGCAAGAAGATAAAGGTACGTAAGGCCACAGGCTCCATTTTCCTATGCCTGTATTTTTAGATAATCTGCACTAAAGGTCTTAGTTAGCTGCGCTGGTATTAACAATGACCGCGATTAGCATCACAATTTTTACAAACTGCATAAACGTATAGTATTAATATTATACCATAGTATAGGATTAACTGGTATTATTAAAGTCAGTTGATTAGGTTAATAGTTTTACTAGCACATGGGTCTTCTTCAATTTAAGCCATTAGCTTATCTTTTTTCTATCTAACTATCTCTGAAGCTGAGCTGTTCAAATCTAAAGTTATAAAGCATTTAACAGAACAAAACCATATAGGTCAGGTTTCAACAGGTCATATCACCCAATAAGCTGATTCTGCTGGTAGGTTATTTGTTTTAGTTAAACCTACAGAGATGCCCTGTTCTTTCATTATATGTCAAATCTGTCAGGTAGGGAGTGTGTAGTAGCTATTTTAAAGGACTGATTGTTGAGAAATATCATGGAGCCTCCTCCAAAGCTGCCAGTGTTGAAAAGACATCTTATCTAAAGTCACTTTTTAAAAGGAGACAGCATCAATCTGGCAGATTGTCTTGAATTATAAGATTGTCCACATCTAATAACACAAGTAAGTCATTTCAGTTCAGTTGATTTATCTACATTTTTTTATTATTTCATAGCGGGTCCATCAGCCTCCACCTCTACCTTCCCAAGCTTTGTCTGAGGGGAGGCCTGCAGTCTCAGACTTTGAAAACCCCTGCATTAGACTATCGAGTCGGCAAAAGTCAGCCGCTGTCATCTCGAACGCACCTAATGTCTCCATCACTTTTGGAAAGCTTTTGTTAAAGATCTTCTGAAAAACAACTTGCATTGAGAAATGTTAAATAACAAATGACACAATGCACAATAAGAAAATATGCAATGGGGCTGAAAAATAGAAGAAAGAAATGCATTGTCCAAAAGCTGATTACTGCGTTATATTCCATTATATTTTTAGATTTTAAATTGTCACCTGCCAACTTAATTTTGTTTTCCTTCATGTAAATAAAGACATTTCCATTAATTGGTGCAGAAAATGTCTCCAGAATGCAGGAAATTAATTGTGTTATGCTCAAAGTCATCCCACCCCTAATCTGAGCCCTTATGTCTTCACAACTTTACAACACAAAGTGATTTTTCTTGCACAATATTTTAAAGAATGACAGGTAGGCACTCTATCCAAATAAAGTGTGACCTGTAAATATATTAACATTATACTAACAGTTGTAATATTTACTAGTTTCACCTTGAGGATGAGGATGGGGGGAGGGGAGTACTAGCACCTATTTCTTTCCACTTCAAGCACTGGGTAGTATGGTTCTGGTTAGTGATGTAAGAGGGGTGTAATGGCACAACCCTCAGCCTCCACCAATGGAAATAAAGGCTGGGCTCAACACCCATGTTCGGGGAGCTTGCTATAAAACTGGCTTAAAATATTGAATTCTGTCCACTTTGTGTAAGAGTAATTAACTGCTGTGCTGCATCTTGGAGAGACGAGTGATTATTTAATGAGGTAAGTACTAATATGATTTTTAAAAAGTTTTATAATTTCAATTAAGGGTCTAATATTAAACAAAAGAACTATGAATGGAGTTGCATGAAATTAAATGCATGTTTTCAAAATGTGCGTCTCTTTTGTTCATGTTTGAGGGATATATCATTGGAAGATGATCTTCCAAAGCTTAGTTGTTTTGCACCACGATAAAGAAAGAGAGAATATGGAGTTTTTCCACACTCAGGTTTGAACAACTCTGGTGAATCACTTCTCTGTGGGATCAATGAATAGGTTAACACAAACAGAACAGAATGACATTTCGGTAAAATCGCACATTGAGAACTCGGCTGAAATAATTTAGCAAAATTTAGGAAGAAAGTCCGCCTTAAATGTTCATCTAATAATAATTTCAATAGCATATTTTGCTATCTGAGCAAGCTTTTAACAATATATATTTATAATATTTAAAATAATCTTTATTCTTAGTATATATGATTTTATACATAAAACTTTTTGAGGCAGGTGTGCAGTTGTACAATATTAGCAAAGTAGAAGCAGAAGTATCCTCTACTTAGGCAAGGAGTGCCCAACTGTAAAAAATGCTCATGTAGTAAATTGTACTAAACACACCTAGCAAGTAAAAGTGCTCATGCAGATCGTGCCCTTCCAGTATGTTAATTTTTTTTAGACTTTTTTTACATTATTAATAGACTGTTATTGGATTGTTATTATTGATTAATATGCATGGAGTTGTTAAAGTTGAGCTGGTTGAAGAGGAGCTAACTGAGCATCTGGATTGTAGTGGCGTAAAATTGTAAAGTTGCATAAAATGGAATATTCAAGTAGAGTACCTTACAATTAAACTTTGTTTGTATTTAGTAAATGTACTACTCACTCTTGCTGCTATAACCATCAATGTCCATCATTCTCATCAGTTCAACGATGGATAACAAGTCTTACTTGGTTCAAATGAGTGGGAATGGAGTCCTTGGCAAAAACACTGTCAAAAGCCTGAATGGGTCTGGAGTCAACGGGAAAGGAGTAAACCGGAACGGCATCCACCACGTTAGTGTGAATGGCAGTTTGTATCCTGCCAAAGCCAAGAGCCGCAGGCAGAGATGGGAAGTGAAGCCCTCAGAGATGGCCAACAAAACGCTCAATCCCATCAGATCCATAGTGGATGGGATGAAGCTCACCCCGAACCCGGATAAACCCATGATCGCTCTTTCCATAGGTGAGAGGGTTTCTAAATGAAGTTGGTGATTTAAAAACTTCTGGAGATTCCCCTTGTTGCTTACATGCAACTAGTTTCTGAGATTGGAAACAAAATACACCTGCCTGTATGATACTACTAATTCCAAGACAATACAATTTCATGCTGTCCATTCACTGCCTCCACCGATGATCCACTGTAATTGTTTTACACTATTAAACACTAACACTATTAAACATGAGCCCTATATTCTACGACTTTTCTATTTTTCGTATCCAGAGGGCTGTTTCCATTTGCCAGTCATTTAATGTTTGATCTTTGCTTTCTCTCACTGTTGCTTACTATCACGTCTGTCCTCAGGGGATCCCACTGTGTTTGGAAACCTGCCAACAAATGATGCAGTGCTTCAGGCCATGAAAGACGCCATAGACTCCCAAAAATACAACGGCTATGCTCCTTCCATTGGTGAGTCACACTAACCAACAAACTAAACTAGATCCACAGCCGCCATCTTTAAATGTGTGGATAGAAATGTTGTTTCATGTTAGCTTTAAAAGTGAAGTACAGATGCATAAAGGTGAGAAGTTTTGGTAGTTGTTTCTCTGTTTGTATGTACTACATATTTTCTCTGTGTCCACCGGCAGGTTATCCGAAGAGCCGGCAGGCAGTGGCCAACTTTTACAGCTGCCCTGAGGCTCCTCTAGAGGCAGAGGTACTGACTCTTAATACACCTCATACCTTTGCTGACACCCTTTTTCTTTCACACTTGTCACAGTGACTTTATTCAAAGAATTGAAACGGTTGGGTGTTGGTGGTAACATACATGTATGGTTTTGGTGTCCATGCTCTTGAAAGTAAAGTGCACCCACCCTCCTTTCCAGGATGTGATTTTGACCAGCGGCTGCAGTCAGGCCATTGACCTGGCTATCAGTGTCCTCTGTAACCCAGGGGACAATGTTCTGGTCCCATGCCCAGGCTTCTCCTTATATAAGACTCTGGCAGTTTCCATGGGCATCGAGGTCAAGCTCTACAACCTGCTGGTAAGTAGGAGAGGTACCATCCCTACGCTACCTGTACTATTTACTCTCTTTTTGTTTTAAACACAAATAATGTGTAGTGTACTTACCTTCTAAAGAAATATATTCTTTGCCATCACTGTAAAATTCATCTGTTTGTGACCAGTACATAGATAATGTGGCGTATTATCATGCACAATAACACGTTTAAGATATGTTTATGTATGCTCAAAGTCTTCAAGCATGGAGAAAACCCCTGGTTGCAATACTGCACTACCACTGAGAAAAACAAGGCATCACTGGCATTGCATTAGATTAGATCTTTTCCCTCTCTCTTCTGCTGTCGCTGACTGGCAAATAAGAAACAAGATAGAAAAAGATATAGAGAGAAAATGTTAACATAATTGCAAAGAAAGTAGGACATTGTGGCGAGGACTTGTGGGATGGAAATGGTTCCTTTCTCTATGTTGGTACACACTGGCTGATATTAATCATCTTGCTGAAAGGCCTAAACCTTAAAAAGCTGCCCCAATGAATAAACAAAGGTTCAAGGCCTTGGTCAATGGCAGTTGAGAAGCATAAACTGAATAACTGTTGAGGACACGTGACGATACCTTTCACCTTCCTGATCCACCTTCAACTTAACTTTAGTGTAACAGGTTGCTATCTCATATTTGCAACAGTAGCTATCCCTAATCATCATCAGGATACATCATCATACACAATAAAGTTTCTGTCCTCACCGTGACACCCTGATAAATCCTTTCAGCCAGAGAAGTCATGGGAGGTTGACCTGGAACACCTGGAGAGCCTGATTGATGAGAAGACCTCCTGTCTGATTGTCACCAATCCATCCAACCCTTGTGGCTCTGTCTTCAGCAAGGAACACCTAAAGAAGATCCTCAAAGGTTAGCTGCAGTTCTGCCCCACTCTGCTTTTATAGGAAAATGAGTTAAAACTCCTCAAAAGCTTTAAATTAGCAGTACAGTTGAAGTCCAAGGCGACCATTTGGACACATAAAATGCACATAAACACAGCATTTGCTTCATCTTCATGAAACAATGAAATGGTTCTTGTTTTTCTCAGTGGCTTCCAGACACTGCGTTCCCATTCTGGCTGATGAAATCTACAGCGATATGGTGAGTACAACAACACTTCAACAAAAGTCCCACAGTACAGGTTGGCAGGTAGTGTGGCCCTCTGTAACATCAATGAGGCACATTTTTCACCACAGTGACAGCAGAGGTTGTGTTTCATTTGGTGTTATTTACCCTGGCTGAATGAGCGGAGGGCAGTGAGATCGGCAGGAGCCAGCAATGGATTTCGGCAGATCTGGGTTGAGGTATCAGAATTGGTATGGGGAGAGACAAAGTTGCATCCCTAATTTCTTAGCAGCAACATCTTAGAAACAATGTCCCCATTAAGGTGCATTCAGAATGAATCTTCATGTGAAAATACTACCGGAGTGTTTTTGCAGTTTTATTAAATTCAGCCCAAACAGCTAATGTCCTAACTGTACAGACATTAGTTGTAGCATGCCATGAGTGTGTGGCCAGGTGACAGCCCTTTGTGATTCCAATGAACTTAATTTTGCCCCAGTCAAACGTCCTTACGGTGCTTCAATTTGAGCCACCTAGAGCAAATTCACATTCAAATTGTGCACACTTACATCATTCAAATTGACTTTTGTACAATTGCACTGCCATTATAATCCACTTGTTCTGCAGTATCAATACATCTTTACTCTTTATAATTCACAGCACTTGCTAAAAGACGTTTTCTCTAGAACTACTTTCTACCAAAGTAAAGGTCCTCATGAAAATATGTATGTACTGTAGGTTATCCAGAATAACATGGTTGTTTGTGAATGGAGATGTTGTTGATGATTTTTTTCAAATGAAATTTTTCAATGCTGTGAGCACCATAGATTGGGGGGAGGCAGACCTTAAAGAGACAGAGAGTGGGTGAGCTAAACCTTTAAATCAACATTATGTGGTAATTTCATCTTAAAATAACAGCTTCAAAATCATTTTGATGGTACACTAACTTGTAATAGGGAGAATGGTGTCTCTGTCATTGCCACTCAGATCCGGAGCACCTGGTATTGTGCACGGTGTCATGCTTTACGGCACCACATCACGCACCAAGAAGACTCTTCAGCACGCTAGCTATACAAAGAAGCTAACTTGGTCTTCTCAGTATGGATATCATGGCAGACGTGTACAGATGTCCTTATTTACGACAGTGGAGAATTACAGTCTGAAACTGTAGGAGTGCCTAATTGCAAAAAAACCCACCAAATCTTACTTAATTTTACTTTAAAAATTAAATTGACCAAATTTAAATATTGACCATCAGAAAACAGCAATTATGTCACATTCAGTCTAATGTTTTGGCATCAGTGTTGGCCTTGATAAGTCTTTACTGGTCAAACTTTGGTTGAAGGTCATGCAAACATATGCACAGATTTACACACGCACATAGACTCCTGAACACACAGACACATAGACAGGCAGGAACCCACGCACACTCACAGGCAGCCTGAATGTTTGTTTGCCAGCTCAATAAAAAAGTGGAGATAAGGTAAAACTTGAATTATCTGGTGCAGTAGTTTTCCACAGGGGATGTTCGATAAGATGATGAATGCAAAACACGGTTGAGGTCCAAAAGCATCTTTCGGATTCATTGAATATCACCTCACTTATTTCAGTTTTGGGTCTTTATTCAGCTTGTTCTTTTACAAGTCACTGTTAGAGCATTCATCGTTGTGCCTTTGATAGCTGCTACTGAAGAAGTTATTAGTAGTGTGATATTAAAATGGACAAATAGAGGTTTAGTAAGAGAGGGCTTGGAGAGAAAGCATGAGAGTCTATGTATCATTTGTCTCTTCTGAGTGCAGGGAGGATGTTGTAGTTACAGGGTGAAAATACCAGAAAGGTTACAGAAGTAGAGGTGAAGAGTGTACGGTAAAAATACCAGAAAAGAAACTTTGTCTTACAGCTGCAAAAAATTAAATGCGCCTTTCCATCAGTCGCTCAAAGAAGAATGAATAGTGAAGACTTGCTTTTGTGCTTTAAATTTGTGTTGTAGCAGTTGGAACCGGTGCAAGTGGAACCGTTTAGAGACGGGGTTGTTGGGTGCATCCACAAACCCCCCTCCCCACCACCACGACTGGGCCATTTCACTTTAAACACAAGCAGACCAGAATGACTTTGCACTTTTGCCTGCATGTGTTTGCAATCAATGCAAATGTCGGTTTAGCGCAGCAGAAGCAGGGGAGGAATGGAGTTCATGTGGTGGTGGGGAGCTGGGTTGGGGGTGTAGTAGTGAGGCTTTGCTTTTATGACTTGAGAGTTTGAAGACTCAGGGGCCAGGGTGTCTGTGAAGTGCACCAGCCAATTAAGGCTCTGTCAGTGGGGCATTAGCCCCGTGTCCCTCTTCTCCATAAGACTCTCAGCAGGATATTCTGTTTTACAATTCATGTCTGTACAGTGTAGGTATGCTCTGTATGACCTGTTTTTGAGTTGTAAAGTGTGCTGGCAATGGAGTTTTTCAAACAAATAGCTCAGGCAAATCACTTTCTGTGAATTTTATTCAAGTCTTCTGCAGAAGGAACTCACTGGGACACACACGCATCAGAGGATCATCCGAGTGAGCTGCAGTGTCTCAGCACATGCAGCTTTTAACCTAATCTCAGTGTCAGATCACTATCTCACCTCGGGAATACGATGTCTATGATTCCATAGAGGACACTCAATCTGAATCTATTGTGAGAAAATCATGCCCAGCTCAGTCATTATTATAAACTTGCAGGATTGAGTGTTTTACTATAATTAGTGTCTGGTGCCGAAAGAGTTGGTAATAGTTCCATATTTGCTCTATGTTCATGTACATCCAAATTTCTGTTGCACACCCGACTGAACCTCTCTGTACTGATCACAATGCTTTAATGAAATCCTACTCTTGCTTAACTCATTCTCAATTTTAGAGAGGGGGTGGGTGGTGGGAGAGTCTCTGCATGTCAAGTGAGTTGAGGCCGCCAGAAACAACAAATGCTTTAAACTGGAAGGCTATGCAGGCACATTTCAAATGTATATGCTATTATGTCAATGATAGTCGTCTGGCCAATAGGATGTGGGGAGTTTCCTGCTCGAAGTCAAATATACTGAATGGCTTTAATGAGAACCAGCTTTTTGTGGGTGGACCGTAGCTCACTGTGGTTAATGTGCCATCACCCTTTCTCTTACCCCCTCTCTCTGTCTCTGTCTGTAGTCTACTACTCTCTCTTATTCTTTCTTTGGTTTCTCCCTCACCACCTGAACAAATATATAATCAAATAAAAGCAAGATATGTATATATATTATACTTTTAAACAGTTATTCATGGAATTATTTGTAAAAGAGACACAGCTAACTTGCATAACATGCTTATTTTGTATGAGTAGGAAGCTTAGGTAGTGATCATCTGTGAGCATCTTTCAGTTCATTGTCTTGGTTTTGGCCCACAACTTAAAATTTTGATTAACTGCTTTCAGCCTCATTTCCAGCTGCAGTGGGTGCTAGCTCAGATAAACCCACTGTATGCTATTTGCCCTAAACCAAACAACAGACAAACAAAGTTGAGGACTAGCTAGTGAACGTAATTGCGTGTGTAATTGACTCAATTCTTTTTGCTCAAGCTGATGTGTTGCGAGCTTTCTGGCGCAAATGGCTGCCGTGCATCACCCAGGTGGGTGCTACACATTGGTGGTGGTTAAGATGAGTTCTGCTGCCCCAAAGTGGCTAAAAAAGTCTATTAAAACTGCTTTGGGAGTCTAATTTAACTAATAATAATATAATAATTATAATAAACTTACTATCAAGTCTACTACCACACAACATAATAGTGCCTCATGGCCATGGATGATTTTGCTTCTTGAACATATTCCATTTTGTTCCTCAGGTTTTCCCAGGTTGCAGCTGTCCTTCTTTGGCATCTCTGAGCAGTGATGTTCCAATCCTTTCCTGCGGCGGCTTGGCTAAACGCTGGCTGGTCCCCGGTTGGAGGATGGGATGGATCCTCATCCATGACAGGAATGATATCTTTGGATCCAAGGTATGTAGGCTTTTTTTACGTTCTTTAAACAGAGAACGAATGGGTAGACTCCAGCAGACTGTTGCATTTACCAAACTTACACATGCAGTATGTCCCCTTTGCAGATTCGAGAGGGTCTGGTGAAACTCACCCAACGCATTCTGGGAGCCTGCAGCATTGTCCAGGGTGCCCTGGAGAGCATCCTCAACAACACACCTCAAAGCTTTTACAATAGCACCATCAACTTTCTTATGGTAAACAGAGAGATGATGCATTAGGATTGAGTAATATAGACAAGTCATTTTGGTGACCCTTATTCGACCTCAGCAGCAGCTACTCTATGTTGCTATGCATATTGTAGTATTTTCACATTAAAAAACTTCTTGTATATCGTATCGTATTCATAATCCATTTAAATGTATGTGACCAAACTATTTTGTGTCTTCTATTTCACAATGTGTCTTCAGTTCTCTTCTACTAAGTTTATAACATTCTTCATTTGTTTTATTTATTTATATTCTGACCTATTGCAACATGTATCACATGAGACTGATTGGATAGTTTATCTTTTTCTTCCTCAGTCCAACTCGGAGATCTGTTTCAATGAGTTGTCCACCATCCCCGGCCTGAACCCTGTCATGCCTTCAGGAGCAATGTACCTCATGGTCAGTATGTGGTTTATTTTGAACATGGACAGACGTGCAAATTTGTTTTGTGTCATGATGACTTTGTAGTTAAAGGGGCAGATTCTACCCATCAAGTTCAGTTTTCTCATCACAGAGAGCACAATGTCTTCTGTTGCTTTTGAGGGAGATGTCTGAAGTCTGAAAAAATAACCCTGAATATGTCATCAGGATCATCTTGGTTTAGGCCTGTACACTACAATTTTTTTAACCTACAAACTGGGTGCAATTGTGAATTGTGTGTGTCTGTGCAAATTTGTCCAGGTGGGGATTGATATGGATCACTTTCCTGACTTTGAAAATGATGTGGACTTTACTGAACGACTGGTGACCGAGCAGTCTGTCTTCTGTCTGCCTGCCTCAGTAAGACACCATCCCTGTTTCTGTCACTGCTGTCATGGATCCATTTGTCCTTACATGTGTCTACATGCTTACATTTTCAATAAAATTGAAATATCACTATCACTTCAATGCCTAAGAATATCCATGTTCTGTCCTCTCCCAGGCGTTTGAGTATCCTAACTTCTTTCGCATTGTGGTGACGGTGCCGGAGGAGATGATGGTGGAGGCCTGCGCTCGGATCAGGGAGTTCTGCCAGCGTCACTATCGGCCCTGCAGTCGTGACAGCAATGATCTGGACCAGTGATGCAGCAGAACTGAACCAGCCTGACCAGCCAGCATGGACCTTGTGAAGACCAAAGTCTAAGGGACAGAACAACTGTCCTCTAGTTATAGACTGAGCAGGAATCATCTTTGAAACTGTATTCCATCATTTTATGAAGTTAGAGATGTAGGACTCCGATGTCAAAACTGTGTTAATATTGTCATCACTGCGGCAACCAAAAGCTTGTAAGCAACACATCTGATGGTCCATTGATGGTGTAATTTTTTTTATGTAAACTGTATGAAATGAGCAGACCTAATATTTATATTTTATACAGACAGCGTATATTAACCTCTACTTGTTTTGTGTATTTATATAATTTGTGTAATAACTATATCAACTGTAGGATTGTAGACTGTGCATACTGTACACACCAGTTGGCTTCTTTGCTGTCATGATTACAGGAAGTGAATATATATTTGAATATCAATTTTTATAAACTTTATGTATTCATAATTTTCTGCATGCTTTACTTGATCTAGAAAATGACTCATGCTCTTTATCAGATCAGTCTCTGTATGTTGTTTGTATGTTAATTGTGTGCCATATTGAATCACACACACACAAAAAAAAATGTTATTTAGTAGTTTTGTTAATAGTTACCTAATAAAAAAAATGTACACATTTTGTTTTATAAGAGTTATTTTAAGTTCTGATGTTGCGCACACCCAGGTGGATTGGACTCTCAAAACAAAGCATTTTGCTCACAAAACATGCAGAGAGCAAACTATAACCGTAGAGATTCTGTTAGGAAGTGATCCGAATCAGCTTGTGCAACATATGACTCCCTCTAACCATGAATTCTCATCTACTCTCCACAGCCACATCTGATTCTTATGCAACTTTCTAAATGTCTCCACATGTGACCACATAAATGTCCAGTACACATATGGCTCCTTCGACTGCAGCCTGTTGATTGTGACTCTGGTACTCCTCCATAAATGTACGGGATGTCTCTGAAGGATACAATGGCTTTCCATTTGGCAGCATTTCTCTAGAAGCACTTAAGATAGTTGGATTAGCTCAAACTTTAACACAATTAATATACATTCTTTTACTGTGCAATGTTAAAGATGAAAGAAATCCAATAAATGTCTGTCGCATGAGTAAGTGTTGCACTTTGAGACGAAATCGCAATTCAATTTTATTTTAATTTTTAAGGATTTTTAGGCAGCAAGCCTCAGTCTGCTGGTCAGTCAATCCACCACTTTGGCCCCTAGAGGATTTTGGTGAATCCTAGACTTTTCCCAGACAGCGCTATCCACTAGAACACCGTGCTGCCCCATGATACTGAACATGGTAAACATAATACCTGCTGAACAACAGCATTGTTATTGTGAGCATATTATACTTGCTAGTGTTAGGATTTGACTCAAAGCAGTGCTGTGCCTCAGTACAGCCTCACAGAGCTGATATTGTTGCTGTAGACTGTTAGTTTTGTTTCTTGATCATTGGAATGGAAAGAATTATGATATATGATATTTTACATATGATACACATAAATGTGACTGTTACATGACTTTGTGGTACCATGCTTTTGAACCATCTTGAATCATCTGGTGCACCCAAAGATGACAATCACTGCCTTTGTTTTGTTTTCATATTTAACAATAAAATCAACAATCTTCAATTAACAAATAACAGCAACTATAAAGAAATGCTCACATCATCATTTCTGTTCATTAGTAGAAGTCCATCTTCCCAAACACTTTTTTAATTATCCCATTACCACAAACCAAATTACACACAGTGAATATGAGGCTACAGGGGCCCAGAGGCATTCACCTTTCTTTGCCTGTTAGTAATCCGTTGTGAATATTCCCACAAGAACAAAAATGGAAAGCAAAGTATTAGGTCAGATATTTTTAATCAAGATAAAACTATCAAAATGTGCAGTTTTAAGAATAAACATTTTCCTTGTGTTGTACAATGTTTATGTAAATTAATCTTACTCCATTAAAGCCGCCATACTTTAGGCAGGTGGACTTTAATTGACAAAGATTGGTTCACATAAAAAATAACAAATGACCACATTATACACTATCCATCAGTATTTATACTGTATCAATACATTTGAAGATGGTGAGGCTTTTATGATTGGATATGATTAATTAAACTCTTCAAATCTGCAGCATTTACGGTAGCTGCACAGTACAGTGATACAATATCACCATCTAATGTTGAACTGGAAATATTACAGCAGATTTGTCTTATAATGTGGCCCTGCCTGTGTGTGTGTTTATACATGTGTGCACTGCCACCCCTACAAGAAGAGTGACCTTTGCAACATGCTCCTCCTCACCTGTATACACATAAATACTTCATGGTAGTGAAGTACTTTGGTGTTGTCCAATAATTAACTACTGGCACTGATAAAGCAGGAAGAACAGATAAAAATAGCGAGAGGGGAAGAAAAAGGAGAGAGAGAAGGAAAGAAGCACATGAAACAGAGAAGTTAGATCAGCAAAGAAAAAGGAAGGACGTTGACTCAGCAGTTGCAGTCGGCGGGGAAGTGTGTGCTGACGTTCTCATTTTGTTTTTCTCCTGCAGTGGTTAAATGTACTCCATTGAGGACACACAGGTGGCCAGGACCATAGAGCTGAATGATGGCACACGCATGCCAGTTTTGGGTCTGGGGACATGGAAGGTAGCCTCAACATTCATTCCTATACAAGCTTTATTGTAAAGAATCCAGTTCTTATCAATTTCTTATCTTGTATACTGTTAAAGAGAAATGTTCTGATGCTTTACAGATACATGCATTTTAGGTAATAGAGTATTTTCTGAATGTAATCTGTCTAGGGAGGCGATTGAAAATTATGGACTTTGATTGATTTGCAAATTATTCGTCCTGCCAGTTCAAATGGCAAGGGACTTCCTGCATACTGATCTTTGGTCCTTCATTACCTCTGTCAAGGATGTTATGTTTTTGATGTTGTTGTTTGTCTGTCAGAAGATTTTTTACTTTCATTAACTTTGCAAGATAGGTCAATTGTGAACTGAGATGATGAGGTTTCAGCTCATGGGACAACCATATTTTGACATAATGTAATTCTAATAGTTTTGAAAACATATCCACACATACAGTATCTCCCAAAAGTGAGTACTTCCCTCACATTTTAGTAAATATTTGATTAAATCTTTTCATGTGACAACACTGAAGAAATGACACTTTGCTACAATGTAAAGTAGTGAGTGTACAGCTTGTATAACAGTGTAAATATGCTGTCCCCTCAAAATTACACATTACACAACCATTAATGTCTAAACTGCTGGCAACATTTCACTCAGGGGTGTACTCACTTTTGTTGCCAGTACATTGTAGCAAAGTGTAATTTCTTCAGGGTTGTCACATGTAAAAATATAATCAAATATTTACAAAAATGTGAGGGGTGTACTCACTTTTAGGAGATACTGTATATAGACCATTGGCCTTGGTGAGGGTCTGTACTCTCTGAGTGCCCTTGTGGAAGGAATACTTTAACATTTAAAAAATAAGATTATTTTCTTTCTTGTCGAGAGTTAGATAGGAAGATTGAAACTACTCTTATCTGAGCAATAACTATGGAGCAAGAATCCAGAGCTGGTTAGCTTAACTTAGCACAAAGACTGGAAGTACCAGGAATTAGCTAGCTTAGCTCTGTCCCTAGAAGCATTTCTAAAGCTCACATAAAATATTTTACTTGTACTTGTTGCAGTCCTCCAAACTTCCCCACACCTCATTCCAGGGTGCAGTAGAGGCTGCCATTGCAGCTGGCTACCGTCACATAGACACAGCTTACTGCTACAAGAATGAGGTTGAAATCGGCAAAGCTCTGCGCTCCAAGATGCAGCAGGGCATCATCAGGCGCCAGGACATGTTCATTGTCAGTAAGGTGGGTGCTGAGGGGAACAGGTGTTACAGCAGGACAGGGCAATTATTTGCAACACGAGGAGGGGGAATTACATCTGTTTAGTTTATAGACCTGACATATTTTGTTCTTTTGAATTGCAAATGGATAGGAAAAAACACCTGTCACACCCATTCCAACAAGAGTTACCAAAAACAAAAAATGTACCCTAAGAATATTTTATGCATGTATTTTCATACTGTGTGTTATATTTAATTTTGCAGATAACCCTCCTGTACCTTTTTTTTTTTTTTATAGCTGTGGAGTACCCATCATGCCCCGGAGGACATCCCTGTGTGCCTCAATAAGTCCCTGAATGATCTCCAGCTGGACTACCTGGATCTTTACCTTGTGCATTTCCCTGTTGGCCTAAAGGTTGAGTGTAACAAAATATTGTGGCAGGATTCAAATGTTTCCACCCCATATTCTGCCCTTATCCCAGGCTAAGAAATTATTTTTATGAATGGTTAATCACATTGTTATGGCTTCACATGTTAGCCAACAATTGCTGACAAAGAGCAAAACTGCCGTCCCATTGCAGTTGTGTTTCTATCCACTTAACACATACATTGATAAATGTATTGGTTTCCACCAGCTCCTACAAAATGTTAAGTATACTGATGTATAGAAAAATATCATATATTCAGGAGCTAGTCACTGCTGTGTCATATAGTGTCCAGTGGGTTTATCAGAGCTCACCAGAAATGACTAGAAATGGGGACAAAACAGACCAGGCCAGAGAAAAAATAGCTAAAAGAAGTGAAAACTACATCCTTTGTTAATTCTAAGTGCGTATGTCCCTATGAGCAACTGGTTTAAATGTATTAATTAGAATATTAATTAATTTTAATTGCCAATATCAATAATGTAACTTAATGCAGGTTTGGATTAATTTATGTATATATATATATATATATATATATATATATATATATATATATATATATATATATATGTTTTTTAAACTTGTTTGTATGTGTCCATGAAAAGAGCTAAGCAATTATAAATGTTTGGAAAAGGACACCTGCTGTATCTTTGCCTACGAGCATTTGTTTGACTGTAACCTCTAAATTTCTTCTTAGAAAATGGGTGATGAGATTTTCCCGAAGATGGATGGAAAGACGCTGACCTCTGATGTAGACTACATAGATGTATGGAGGGTAAGAACACATGTACTCTCTCTGTTTGCGTGTTCGCTGGCACCAACACAGCTCACCTGCCCCACCAGCTTTAAATTTTAAAACTAAAAATGTATGCATAAATAGTGATATCAACATCAAAATGAAATGGAAACTACACAGATATGCGCATACATTTTTTTTTTTACATAAATGCAGCTCTATAAATTCATTCACAATATCTTACAGTCACTTCAGTTTCTTATGCAAGTTACAGAGAAACAGAAAACAATTTTTTTTTTCCTAAACTTTTCTAAACTCTAAGCAGTTTTCTCCCTCAAAGTTAATTTAATTTTCTCCTTATAAATCAAAGAAAACTTCATCCACCTGGCATGGGAAAGAGATTTAGAATAGTTTCAGTTAAACCACATTAGTCTTTTAGTGGATCATTGAGGTGTGACTGCTGCTCTCTGTTGTTGTGTTTGCAGGGGATGGAAGCCCTGCAAGCCTCTGGGAAGGTGAAGAGCATTGGTGTGTCCAATTTCAACATCCTGCAGCTGGAGAGACTTCTCGCTCTGTGCAGGGTGCCCCCTGCTGTCAATCAGGTCCTGCACATTTAGCTCCTTCATTGACATAAGCAGGAGAAAGTCTGTTGATGTTCACGTACAGACCCATAGGCCAAACTTTCATTTACTGTGCAAGCAAGTGGTCCGACCTCAGGTCGGTTGTCGTGATTAACTGATGGCCTGCCCCATAGATCTCACTTTAAGATTTTTGTCTTGCCTTTGTTAGACAACAGAATGTGGAAAAAGACTGGTAAACTGGGGAAATGAGTAGGCTATCTGTCACAAGTCAAACCATAATTTATTTATTTGCATAAATGATCTTTTAGTAGAAAATATCTAATGTTATGTTGGTGAAGAAACATATCAGATCTTATGTGATATTATAAGATGTAACAAATAATTAACTCATAAATGACCTCTATGTTACCATGACATCACTACTGCTATACACAACATAGCGCTAACTTGTGGTGACATCACATGATGTTGACGAATGACGTGTTCATGTAATGTAACTATGTGATGAGATTAATCTCTATTATACAGTGGTGCAACTAGCATGTCGAAATTTCATGTAACGTATCACAAGTTATGCTTTTATTTACACTGTTATGTAGGGGGAACTTCCTGGAACTAAATTTTGGTCCTGCTCAGCATCAGACTTTAAATCCACGTTCATAAACTTAGCACGCTCTGTCCAGACCAGCATCCAAATTTGCTCACCTTTTCTTTGGTGTTACATCATCCATAGGTGGAGCTCCATCCCTACCTGGTGCAGACAGAGATGATAGAGTTCTGTAAATCCAAGAACATCGCCCTGACTGCCTACAGCCCCTTTGGCTCCCCTGAGAGACCCCCAGAAATGTAAGACGCTTAGCATCACTCACCTACTCCACTGACTCAGACTGATCATTAAAAATGAATCATGCGCATGGATGCTTCTGTTGAAATCATTAAGTTAGGTGTGTTCATGCTCAGAGGTAATTTTCTGATCCATAGAGGACACATTAATTGGATCTACTTTGTGTTGGTTCATACATCAAAGTTACAACCAAACAGAGCTTCTAAGCAAGCAGGATGACTCAGGAATTGAACATAATATTATCTGTCATCCTAACCCTTTGTCATATTCCCACCAGTTAAGAGAGTTTAGAGAAATAGCACAGTTTTTCATCTGCTGTTGAATTGCTATCTGCCCAATTGCTGCTCTATCAAGCAGTATGGAAGATTAAAAAAACACAAGTGTAATACAACAAACATTGTAAAATGCATTTTCTTTTCATGTATGCATTTACTGTCATAATTAAATGAAAAATATATATATTAAAATGACAATTATTTAACTTTTTGTATTTAATAACAAAATGAATTGTTTGTCATTGTGTCATTGACATTGAACAGCTTCCTGCAGCAAAATCATGCCAACACGTAAAGTAAAACTGCCTGTACAGTCGATTTTTCTACTTCCTTTCTCACTGAAACTGCTTTGACCCCGAACTCTTAATTGATCAAAGTATATCCAGATGTGGATCCTGAGAGGAGCTCTAACAGTTTCAGTTTCTTCTTATGGACAAACTGGAGGATGTTTCTGAAGCACACTGATGTAGCATCAGTCTAGTGAAATATGGAGTAAGAAGTGGGATAGAAATGTACTGTAATTACTCATTGAGCCTACTGATTCTTATGAATGAAACACTCTGGTCTTCTTCATCTTGTCTACTTTAGGCTCAGAGGAGACACTGATCCCCATAAGCTCCTGGAGGACCCAGTCATAACAGATATAGCCAAGAAGCACAGACACAGCCCCGCACAGGTCCGTGTGAGTGTGTGTATTGTATATGTGTGTGTTTTCTTTTGTTAGTAACAGTGTTGTTCTCCCAGGTGTTGCTGAGGTACCATGTGCAGCAGGGTATTTCAGTCATCCCTAAGAGTGACAAGCCTCATCACATCCTAGAAAACACCAAGGTAAAACTTCCCTTTCTACTTTTTATCCATGTACTGTTTGAATCTCTGAGGCTCACTCCTACGAGTTGCCTTCTTTCTTAAGCGCTCACTTTGCTTTGTAGTAGAAGTGTGTTGTGATTGTGGATGTTTTCTTTATTTAGTTGCTTCCTCCTACATGCAGCTGTGGTGCAACACAGCTCAGAGTTCACATCAAATTCAGTTTTTTTCAAAATAAAAAACATGTATATATTTTAAACGGCATTGATTCAATTTTTGCTACTTGAAAGGGAGCAGAACAACCTGAAAAACACTGATACATTACCAGCTTCTAATGTGGATATGAGAATGTTGTAGCAAAAAAAGGGTTTACAGCAGTAGAGCCAGCAGACGTGGAGCAACATTCATCTTTCCGTCCACCTGCTGAATGTAAGTCCAATATTCACATTGCTCCACCACCAGAAAAATATCTGTCTCTTTAGCAGCTAAATAATCCCCAGGTTACCAGCTAGTTGCTCTCTGGCATTTGGTGCTGGGCAGGTACAGTGGGTTCATCCATGCTTTGTTAACTGTAAACAGCTGGCTGGAAACAAGTTGATGAGACTGAACAAAAACAGTAAAGTTGTCCATAAAACCAAAACAATGGGCTGAAAGAGGGTTTATTCATTGTACTGCAGGAATAACAAAACACTATTTTTCTAGGACTGTTAGCATCTATATAGTTGTCTATAAAACCCAGCTGTCAAAATCTGTTGGTGTTTGGTGCAGATCTTTGACTTCAGTCTGACTGAAGAAGACATGAGAGCACTGAGAGGCCTGGACCGAGGGTGGAAGGCCTGCATACTTGACGAGTAAGCAAACACACAGCCATTGTAATAATAGTCTGTACTGTGCTGCTTTTTTCACAGTGATGATCGTTTTTCTGTTTTTTAGAATCAAGTCTCATCCGTACTACCCCTTTGTATGAGGCTGCCAGGAGACTGGAGAGAAAAGACATCAACCAGACCAGCTACATTCAGTCAATCTACAGTATTGTTTAACTAATGATGATGGAATTTGAAGGTGAGGACAAATCTGAAGACTGAAGAAGATTCAAATATAAATGCAATAAATGTGACCAACAAATATCAGGGCGCTGATAAGCTCTTTTCTAATTTCTAATCAGAAAACTGATACGCTTACTTTTCTAATGTTTTCCTGTTGTGAATAAAATACTGTAGGTTTACACATCACTGGACTATTATTTTAATTTGACAATGTGACAAAGTTGAGACTTACAAACACACAGTCCAACAAATAATTCTGAATCACACATTTTATTACAATTCACAGTAAGAAGCACATAATAATTTCTTTACATACACTCTGTAAATGTGGGAAGGTAGGCTTTGCTGGATGGACCTAGATAAAGCATGTAACAATTTCTCTGTGAGAATTTGTGCTTGTGTGACGAGGCTATCTGCAGATGCGTTTAAATCTGTCCATCAACTTATAATACGACACATAAATAATCACTTAAATTTATGTAGTTTTGTACTCCAGAGGCAGTGGTTACAATATTTTATGGATTATGTCAATTCTACCGCTTTTAGTCCTGCAAGGCAGACTGACCTTAGAGTAGGAATGAGGTTTCTGAGGGACTTGGCTGATGATTTTAGGAATGTGTAAACCATAGTGGTCACCTGACCCAATACCTGACAGAGTCACTGACTATTTGCTGGCTGTACTGACAACTGTCACCTGCTGATTTCATCAGCTGTAGCTAGCTTGCTAATTAAGCTAATGTAGGCTCCATGAGTGGGTTTAAAAACGTTGTCTCCAGCTGACTTTTTCATGCCTCCAGCTGACTCGTTTTAAAGCAAGACTTTAAAAATCAGTTTTAATGTGCTCAAAGGGTTCATAGTACATGATATCATGCAAAAACATAGTTAAAGCTGCATGTGCCAGGCCACAAGTCAGAATCCTCAACCACATACCATCCATGCAGAAGACATGGAAATAAAGCACTGTTCTTGCAGTGTAAAGCAGCTGGTTAGTTATTCCTCAGAGCTGGTTAGTGCCTAGTCAACGGTGGATGAGTTATGGCAGGGGTTAGTATTACACAACTGCAGCTGGTACTTAGACCTGGAGCATGCCTCTCGAAATTTGAAAAATCACAATCAGTGGTTCCACCCATTATGTGTGGACCCTTGTATGATAATTGGCTCCTGGTTTAAACAAAACAAGGGAAACATTTAGTATTTAATAATGTATAAGGATGACTGCTAGTTAACTGTAAAAATTGTGTTGCTCCATGCTGTCTTGTTATGTGTATGTGTAATAAAGACCCTGCAGTGAACTCCTTTCGTAGCTCCAAATAATCAGCATCGTATAAAAGAATCTGCTGGTATACCCAATTTTACGTCGACCTTCCGGGTAGCTTTTTGCAGACTAGAGTGCAAGAGTACAACTCATCTTGCAGTTTTACACTTAATATTAACCCGCCACCCAGCCTTTGAACTTTTTCAAGCTCTCACTTCCTGACTTTAAAAAGACAGAGACACCTGAATGTCAAAGCATATTTTTGCATTGACTGTACCAAGGATACAAAAATGGTTTCTCTCTTCAGAGAATATCTAACTGTGAATGCAAATGTGGTACAAAGAGTGTCCATCATATGGTGTAGTTTTTGTCAACTCCTCTCCCTTGTTGTGATACTGCAGTGTCCTTTGTGAGAAAGTGATTCTGATACTTCTATTAAAGATTTTGTATCAGAAATACTACTGTTTTTATGTGGGGTGTGATATTCATTTCACCCCTTGTCCCATCTTCTTGTTCTCCGGTGAGGGTGATGATGGTGAAGGCTTCACAGTGCACACACATGCTGAGGCCCCTGCAATGCGTTTTGGCAGGTCTGGACCTCTGGACCATGAGTCCTTGTCAGGGGTGTACACCTGAGTGGCTCTGGAAAATGCCATACTCTCCCAGCTGTAGCCCCCAAGCACGTAGATCCTCCCTGCCCAGACTGCAAGCCCGGCCTCACTGTTGGGCAGCAGCAGCGGTGCCACCCGAGTCCACTGGCCACTGCGTGGGTCGTAGGACTCCACCTGCAGGATGTCGAAGCGCTCTGTGGTGTCTTCGTGGTCATCGCTACCCCCAATCGCGTAGATGAGGTGGTTAAGCGAGGCCATGCAGTGCCAGCCCCGGGCCAGAGACATGGCCTGGCGTTCCACCCACACATCACAGTCCCGTGATGGATCATAACTCAGGACATCTCTGCGGTATGGGCCGATCTGATAGTCATGACCGCCTGAGATGTAGACTATGCCACGGTGGACCGTCCCAGCATGGCCATAAGTTAACCTACGAAAGACAGAATTTAAAAGTTCTAATGTAGAACTGTACAAGAAAACTTCACATCGTTATCTGTAATTCAACAACTATGACAAAGAATCAAAAAGCTGAGGATTAGATTAGAGCATAAATCTGACAGCTAACGTTTCATGAACGCACAGAAGCAGTAAGGCTGAAGCTGGAGAGAAGGAGATCTGTGCAGGTGGAGTGGACCAACCCAAACCAAATCAGTGAGCTGGAACTCTTAGTAGAGCTCCAGGCACTGCAGAGATGGGTGATTGTTTACATTAAAATACTGATGCATGCAGCTTTAACCAAAGTGTTGGACGGTGTTAAGTTGGCAGTGCTATTTGAAAAAGTCAGGTAGCTACCAAAATCATCCATGAGGATACATTCTCAGTGGGCCAGAAATGTCTCCACCAAATTTCATGGCAATCACTCAAACAGCAGACCCAGTAGTAACATGTGTTCCTACCTGGGCAGTCCTGCCACGTAGGACCAGCAGTCCTCAGCGGGACAGTAAACCTCCACAGAGGACAAAGCTCCGGTGTCATTCCTTCCACCCACGGCGATCAGGCACTCTCCCACTACCCCCAGGTAAAAATCCACTCGCTGCTGGTTCATTGGAGAACCCTGGAAAACATCAGACTGTCACTGTGTCTGGGCTACTTAGTAGGGGGGGGGATCGATACAGCATAGTATTGAGATATTTTCCATGGCAATTTTGTGTCAATACACGGAGGTCAAGTATCGATCTTTTATTATATAAACTGTATATGTATATTGGTACTATAATAATAATAAAATAAAATCAATTGAAGTTGGAAAAAAGATAATATATTGCAATATGTTATGTGTATATGTATGACATAAGTATCGTTATAATATCGTATCGTGACATAAGTATCGTGACTATATCGTATCGTGACATAAGCATCATACTAATATCATATCGTGGGGCCTCTGGTGATTCCCACCCATACTACTTAGCTGACAACAACTCTAAACAGGAAGTGAGAAATAATAATGGCAGCTGGAAGGTGGGGAGTTTTCTTTTCTTTGTGCTTGAGTTGAGATGATGTTCTGGGTATTTACTGTTTATTTACAGTGCACATTTCATTTGTCAACTAAAAAGTAGGAGAATGGAACCAGCTCTGTGGTACCCTGGTCCACTGGTTGTCGCGGGGGTCGTATCTATACAGCAGGTTACAGGCAGCATCTCCACCGTTGTCCCTGGACGAGCTGCCGCCAGCAGCGAAGATGAAGCCCCCCCAGCACCGCCAGGCAGTGGTGGCTCCGCTGGGCCGGCAGCTCAGTTTCCACCTCCCAGCTTCCTGTTTCACCGTCCAGCCGGCAAACATTGGCGCTCAGCTCCTCGCCACGTTCTGACACCTCGAGAAGTAAAGAGAGGAGGTTACAGGAATCTAATGAGCTTCGGCTCCAGCTGAGCTAATTCTCGGGTCAGCAACGAGTGCAGAGTCTTTTAGAGCAAACTCCAAATTTAAAGTCAAGTTCCAAATTGTTAAGTACAAGTTCAATTCAAGCCACGTGTTTTACAGCTAGTCCAAGTCACGTCACAAGTTTTCAAGAACAAGTCCAAGTCAAGCAACATTCTCACATCTCAGAACTTCTGATTGCCTCATGTCAAGTACTTAGGGACAAGTCCAAGTCAAAAGGTCTTCATAAGCAAAGACATGAGGCCTGTTTTGTTTATTTTTTATAGTCACAAGATATTACCAGGTCAAAACTTGAGACCTAAAATATTTTTTGTCTCATGTCAAGTCAGGTCTTTAGGGAATCAAGTCTCAGTTAAATCAAGTCCCTCATTAGTCAAGCCAAGATCCAGTACACAAGTCTTCATTTTTGTGACTGTCTGTCTGACACAAGTCTCAAGTGCTTATGTATTCAGCACATGAGGTCGACACACGACACAAAATGCTGTGAAAGAAAACCTTTCTTCTATAGAATTGAGAGAAAATATTCTATGAACTAATTTTGTAGCAAAACAAATTCTGACAAATGTCAAGAGAATGACACTTTTTCATTTAACAGTAAACTGTGTGGACTCATATCACATTAAATACTGAACAACTACTGTCAGTGGCTACATTTGATTTTGCCATCTCTAAAAATGAAGTCATCATCAGAGTGATACATCACCCCTCTGTACCTCTCCTCCAATCAGTAGCAGCCGCTCTGCTCCTTCCCTCAGCGTGGTGCGTGCTGTTTGCAGGAGCGGCTGGGCGCTGGGCCTGGCGTGGTACTCCAGAGCTTCCTCCACCAGGGCCTCGCAGCCGGCCTCTTCCGGCAGCAAGGCCCGCACCGCCGGCACCACCCGGCCCACAAGGTCCCCCACCGGCATCAGAGGGAAGCGGATGTGTGTGAGGAGCTCTCTGGCGTGGGAGGTCCGCTCGGGAGTCTGGCTGAGCCACTGCAGGGTGGCCTGCAGAAGCGCCTCCTCGCTCTCATGCTGAACCTGATGATGAAGCCAGAAGCTCAGATATTAATTACGGGGGTCAACATCTAAGCCCTTTCCCCCAAACATGATATGGATTTCTATTTTGTGTTGCGGGGGGGTTGTATTGTTAACTGCTGTTTCCACGGTCAAGAGTAACTTTCGGTCAAACAACGCACGAGTATTTACCTGGCCACTGGAGAGGTAGGAGGTGAGTTTGTGTAGAGGAATGTCGCGAATGAAATCTGGGGTGAAAGAGAGTGTAGCAAAGTGTGTGAGGATGAAGTGGTCGATGAAGGCGTCGAGTCGCTCCAGACTGTAGAGCAGAGCCAGCTCCTGCAGGTACAGGTAGTTCTCCTCACTCACCTCCCTCTCCAGGTACTGACAGCAGAAATCCACCGCTCGCCACACCTGAACAACAGCAGCTTTTAAAACTTGAGTACATGCAGTGTAGTATGATGCACTGTTGAGCTGCAGGTAGCCTGTTCTATCCATTTAACATCATGTGTTGAGCAGAGAGTGCCCCGTTTCTTACCTGCAGAAGGTGGGCAGCTTCCAGCACATAGTCAATGTTTCCTCCATCCAATGGCAGCTCTCCACTGTACAGGAAGTCCACTACAGCGTTCAGACCGATGTAGGACATCCCAACCAGCTCCACCTGCACACAGCAAGAGGACAATGAGTGAGTTGGACATATGATAATGTCCGTGGACACCATCCAACTAAGCATTTCTCACAGCATGAGTTATCTTAGTGACATTACTATTAATAATATAGATGTAGATTGAGACTAGAGGACTGCATTTATTAGGAAAATAATTTAAAGAAAACACAGAATGAGGAAGGGAGACGAAGAAACAAAGCCTCCCATTGTTCAAATGATCTACAATTCCCAGATTGTCCCTGTGTATAAAGCTTTCTTTGCAGCATCCTATGTACCTCCTCCTGGCGTTCCTCCCTCATGCCCAAGGTAAACATAGCGTGGAAGTACGGGCTGGAGATGGCCAGCAGTGCTCGGTGAGCGGGGACCCGCTGGTCGTCGGCCACCAGAACCACATCACAGAACTGTCTGTGCTGCCGCTGCTCATTGAGGCCCTGCAACAGCTCCACCGCATGACCCACCCAGTGGAACACCTGCCAACACATCACAACACAATGGCTGCTTTCTAAAGGTCTTGGGAGGGCAATTTTGTGATTCCAGGTGTCTCCTGACTCCAGGTGGCTCAGACTTTCTTCTAGTGAATTTATCGGTTTCATTTAGGAGAGGGACAGACTGAAGAAATGCTCTGCACACTGATCTGACTTCTTGGTTTGGAGACACATGTTGGAACAGGTGCAATTTGACAAATCTTCCTTTAGTTTGTCCCTGCGATGTAGCCGAGTAGCTAATATTAACGTAGCTAGCCAGCTGTCTACACATCTGAGACAGACAACAAGAGACGTAAACAGCAGAAGCAAATTAATTAGTGTGCAGACTGTTCTGCTCTGTAACTGGTTACTCAAGTGACTGTGTGTGTTATGCTAGTTGACGGCCCCTAGCTGTTTGGAACCTGTATTTTTTAAATATGTAACAATAACAGCCTTGCAGGTGGTGCAGGTCTTTATTCTTGCTTGAGGGTGGGGGTGCCTTTAGACAGACTGTTGCCCAAAAGAAATGAAAATTATTCAGTAGATTTGACATAGCAGCTGGTAAATCTGTTCTAACCAGTTTTAAACTGCACTACATAATTAAAAAGTAACATGTAGAGAGGGTTACTCAGTGTTGATAAGACTATTCCCTGTCATGTCTATTGTGACCTCTTGAAATGAAACACTGTCCTGCCTCAGCAAAAGCGAACGTCCTCCCTGAGAGTTATCTTCACGGTGGTGTTCACCTCGCTGCTGTGCCGCTCCCTTCTTGTTTGTATTTATATGTGTGTGTCAGAGTCTGACTGTTTGGCTCAACTCTGTGTTCAGTCCACACAAACACTGACCTTGGACGATTCACTGATCCGCTGGGGCCGACACACGCGGCTCAGTTGGCCATTGTCCATTATGTCCCCTCAGGCAACCATGATCTAAGGGACACACACACACACACACACACACACACACACACAGACACACACACTGGTATTACAATACTTTTAAATATTTCACTAAACCCTTATTGTATCCTAATCAAAGTTCTTATCAACCTTCCATCTCAGAAGTAGAACCAGGAAAGTTATATATTTTAAGTTAGTACATGGTACCAGACTTAGAACTACTGTCTTCATCTAAAATATTTGGTCCCCCTATTCTCTCTCTCTCTCTCTCTCTCGCTCTCTCTCACACACACACACACACACACACACACACACACACACAGTGACAATGTTAATAATGGTCACTTTCTGATTTAAAGCCTAGAGAGCTGTCATTGTTATAAACTGTTTATATCACTGGACGAATGTTGGAAGGCATCTAGTTACACAGTTAGCAGCATCTCTTGTTACCGCTCTTTTTGGAGGAAACAATCAACATGCGAGGCTTCAACGACGACACAAAACCGGGCCGCTTCTTCACACGGTCTCTTTTAACACAGTCTCTTCTTACACAGACATTTTCCTGTATATCCTCAGCTCTTAGAGAACAGAAGCGACTGCACAAAGTAGCACTTCGCCGCTAGCCCTGCGTAAACAAACACACTTCCGGTTTAGGTTTTCAAAACAAATTAATTTCTGGGATGACTCTAAAAACCACAGCAAAGTAAAATATTCCAGGAACGATAATGAGTAAAAATGAAAATATAGGCGGTCACATTTAACCTACCTCAAATCCTGACGGTGGGATAGCTTCTTATTAGCCATTTTGTGTAACCTCCAAACAAATTATTTAAGGCTTGTAAAGGTTTGACAATTGTTACAACACATTATTTAACAAACTGCAGCAATAGCACGTGATTGTTTTGATGACTGTAATGAAAGGACACTAAGTTACTCACAGCCTGTTTATGTCATCACCCCTTCTTTTGTCATTTTATTTTGAAGCCCAAGTCATTCAGCCCGATGTTGTGATTGGCTCTAGCTAACGCTCTGGCTTACTTTAAATGAACACATCCAGGAAGTAATGAGCGGCTAATGGACCAATCACGACCAGTCATGTGGGAGAATGTTCAAGGCTGGAAATGTCACCGGACGTTTTGAAGGTAATGTGTTTTGTATTATCCTGTAAAACTAGGCCAACTTAAATGTTCCCCGAGGTGCAGTGTGAACAGGTGAGATGTGTACAGTTTCCTGATGTCGATGCGGAGCTCGTTCCACCGTAGTGGAGCCCAAATTCTAAAAGAGTTGCTCAATTTTGAATCTGTTTGGCTCGGTATAGCAGAACAAAACTCCATTGTATAAAAGGCCCCCTGAGTAATCAGTGCTCTGTGGATGTGGAACAACTGGAATAGAAAACTGTGCTATTAATATTTGTCAGTCTCTTAACAAAGAAATTCAACTGGTCGAACATGTAAAGCTAAAGAATCTAAATTTGGGTCAAATCTCAACTAAATCCCGAGAGAGTGACCATAAACTAGAGGCTGACAGAGGTCTGTATAAATCATGGAAACCATTAGAGGCACATTTAAGTAACTATTACATAGACATTGAAACAGAGATAAAAAAAAGTCTCATATGTGCCCAAAAGATAAAACAACTGAAGATAAATATATTGAAATGCTTGTTATTTTTGAAAAAATAAAATGGTCCTAATGTTTTCCTTTTATGTTCACTGTTGATAAATCTTTACCATGAACACCTAACACCACAGTGATGGACACTATTTAGCTATGAGGGTGTGTTGGGCTGCTGGTGGACCAGCAGGTGGCGCGGGGTGATGCAGAACCCAGAGCGACAGAGGCCAGGGGGGTAAGTGGTGGTCTTCCTCTTGATCGGCCCTCATCAGTGTCAGTCAACAGAGTGGACTACCAGCAGGAGATAAGTGACCTTTGACCTCGATGCTGTCCTTCCTATAGCCTACATATACAGGCAACCCCCCTCCTGGCTGGCAGACAAACGTGTTGTTGAAGCCTGTACAATTTGTATTGTGTTTAAGTGTGAAGTAGCCACACTCGTTTTGTGATGTACCTACATTGTTTAGAATGTTGCAAACGGCATATTACAATATTGGATGTAGCACTACACTGTATTTTTGGAGTTGGAGGCTACTGTTTAGCCAAGTGTGTCTGGATGCTTGTATTACAGTCCGTAATTGTCCCCTAAGGACAAATCTTGTAATTTCTTATGAATTGAAATTAAACTATTGGAACAGTAATCTCTGTATTGATATGCATGAATTTGCACAATTTAGCAATATTAACACCGGAAGTTAATTATTTTGCCTTCAGAATAAAGGGTGACTTGACCCTGAAAATGAATAATCAAACAGAAGAGTTGTACTTCTAATAAATAATTCCTCACAGGATGTCAGAGATATGCTCATTATTTGTCACATCATTATATATGCTCTGCCTTTTCTCTGTATTGTGTTCAATGTTAATTACTAAATCCAATAAAATGAATAAATGTAGTAAAATAAAGATCACATCTCACTGCTAAAATGAAGTATGTTTGTTTGATGTTAATTGTATGGGTTAATTTTCTGGGGATTTTCTGGCTGAAATAGATTATTGTAGTATGTATACTCATGTAAAAATAGGATTATAATATTGTGTAAGAAAAGCATCCACTGCTGCATTGTTTTCTTTTAATGAGCAAATAGCAAATACAAACTGTCAATTTAATGAGCCGTTTTAAAAGGGAATTTGTTGATGTAAAAACATTATTAAAAAACATGATGTACGTCGTTTGTACAGCATATTGCTACTGGTGTCCTCACCAGGTTGGTCAGAGGTGATGATTGTAGGGGCCCACAGCTGAGAGGATACATTTCAGTCCATTCATTTTACTGGAAAAACATGCTTTGACTTACATGTCTGGCATGGCTATAAAAAAAAAAAAAAAATGAATTGAATTAAATGCCTGATTAATAATTTCCTTTTATATATCTTTTGTAAAAGAAAAAAACGAAAGTTTTTTTGGCTGTGGCACATTTAAAATAAATATTATTTTCGATTTATATATTTTAAGTGTTGCAACATGCTGCAACCATTGTTTTCACTACTGTTAACTTAATTTTGAAAGTCCCCCCCGGAAAACGTAGTCGTATGTTGTGGCTGCCTTGACAGCGGCCCTTATACCATTGACCATTCACAGGCAGAAGGTGAATCCAGCGTCTGGGGGGACCTCTCTTGTCTGTCTGCTGGCAATCTGACCGACTAACATCACCAACGCCCATAAAGCGGCAATATACAGGAAATAAACCGAGCTCAGAAGACGAGCCTTCTTTTCCCGTCTTCCGCCCGACTCGCTCAGCTGTGTCAGTGTGGTGGTCGTGATTTTGCACTGAATCCTGTTGTATAACGTTATCAGTTATAGTTCTCTGATGCACAGCATCAACTGTATAACTTAAGTTAGCTGCTTATTACTGCGTAGCTAGCTCTCTCCTGGTGTGGACTCACACAACGTTGACTTCGACTGCTTGATTCCAGTCCACCCGAAAAATGGCAACCCAGATCGATAAAGAGGCTTGCAGAGAGGCTTACAACCAAGTCAGAGACGATAACACGGACATCAATTGGTGAGTATGCGGACATGCTTACTTGTCCATTCTGCGTTCAAAAATGTGATTATTCTAACATATTGTCTTGCATATTTGCAGTAGTACATGTGTCGCACATATAACCCAGGAACTCATCTGAATACTGGGAACTTACTAGCCATTATTTACTCAACTATGCAGTACATCAAGCAATCTGTTGTTTTAAAAAAAAAAAAAAAAATCTAAAATCTGTTAAATTTTTTTTACTCAAATAGCCTACTTCCGCCCACTGCACCTTCTTTTCGGCGGCGAAGGATGCGAAAATAAAAAGCGGACCTTTCATAAAGGTTTACGTTTCATTTAAATAATCACAGCTTGGTTGATACATGCCGAATAAAAGACAGAATCCCAGAGTCACAGAAAATGCAATTGACTGTATTGTATGCCACACGAGCCTTTGCATTTAGCCAGCGCTCCTTTACATCGCTCGATATTTCTAAGTAGTTCATTCTGACGAACTGAGGATTTGCCCGCAACTGAGACATTCGTGAATTGTTTACCAGTGGATACGTGAAACCTTTGATTCAGGTGCTTGTGCTTATAAAAATATTGGCTGAAATACACGCGGCGCAGCTGATCTGTATTCTGGCTATTTAGCGGCCACACACTGCACAGTTATCAGGCCCAGCGGGGCAGACGTAATTTCCTTTGTCCTGTATTCAGAGAGGATAACGTTATAGTAGTGCCACTTGTACACATGGCTGCCACACAGCTGCCACCTTACATGGGCGTCTTAGGCATTTTGTGCATTGCTTCAGTTTGCAGAAATGGGTGTGATGTGCACACAGCGCCACTGTTGTGAATCAACAGATCATGAGACTGAATAATGAATGGGGCAATAACGCACGCTGTATTCTGCATCTTCCAGGGCTGCCTTTAAATATGAGGGCTCTAGGATCGTGCCTGCAGGACAAGGGACTGACTATGAGGACTTCAAGAGGATGTGCACAGGTAAAGAGTCGATTTTATTTCAGATATAGTGGCACCCTAGTTGTTACCGCAGCCTTTCCAGTGTAACGTGTGGGTGAAACTTATCTCCTCTCTGCTGGCTGGTGTAGGTTTTGATGTGTGTCTGTGGCCTGTGCTGGTTCCCATCTCAGGATGGGTTAAACAGTGTGCCACGCAGCTTGACTTGCCAGGACACTAATCTTTTAAGACTCTGTGCTCTGTCACCCACTGGCCTTGAGCCGTGTAACTACGCTGTCAAAGCACTTAACACTGTATGCATTGCATTGCGTAATCTGTTCTACAATATTGTGTGTGGGGTTTTTACAAGGTGAAGTATTTAAGGTCAACCTTTTGTATATCAGTGCACCATTGTTTTCCTGTATTACAATGGAAAGATGTCGGCTTCAAACTTCAGCCCTTGTTCTGCAACTGGTTGGATGTAGAAAAACCCATCTCACTCTGATGTAAGTTCCCCTCTTACAACGTCTGCTCAGATGTTGGGTGTGGCTGATGCTTGCTGAGCCTGCAGCCTCAGGCCTGTACTCCCTTTTTCTTCCTGCTTTTTCAGAGCTCACATTCCTATGTTGAAATAAGTCATTTATCACCGTGCTTTACATCAGTTCAGCTGCTGCGTTCGCCATTGGATCCTGTTCAGAGAGGATACACACATTATCAGACATCTTTCTGTCTGTGGGCGTGTATTCCTTATTTAGCTGTGAAGTAACTGTTGTAACTGCAAAAAAACCCAGAAACTCTTGAGTGGAGGAGGGGCTGATGCAGACTGATCTAGTGAGGCTTGAAGAGGAGGGCTCCCTTTAATTTAGGGCAGCAACAATGAATTGATTAGTTGTCAACTATTAAATGAAATGCAAACGATTAACCAATTAATCAGTTTGTGTCATTTTTTTAAGAAGGGGGGAAAAAAAGTCATAATCCAGCTTCTTTAATTTTTTTTCCAGTGATAGTGAACTGAAAATCTTTGGGTTGTGTTTTCAACCATTTTTCTGACATTTTCTAGACCAAACAACTAATTGATTAGTCGACAATGAAAAGAATAATTAGTTGCTGCCGTGTTTTGAATACCCATTAACTTATTCAGCGGCAGGAAGTAAAGACAGATCAATTCTGGCCATTGTTCCTCTAAGTCCTAAATCCTTAAATCTATTTTAATTAGCCACCAGGACCTTTAAATCCAATTTCTGCTGACAAAATGTGGCAACAACCAATAACTTATTTTGTTATTCAATGTCATAAGAATTCATTGTAGTTCACCAAACTATCAGTTAAAGGGAAATTCAGTCCTGAGTGTCCCCTGATGGGAAGGTGTTTCTCAGGTTTTAAGTCTTGCAAATTGATTTCTCGTGTTTTAAACCACGATAGCGGCATGCCTCCAGGGATGGCAATGCTGGTCGGCCCGTCCACCACTCTTGTCCGGTCTGAAATATTGAATGGATTGCCCTGATTCTTTCTTTCTTTGACTTTGGTAAAGACATTTATGGTCCTCAGAAGATGAACCCTATTGAATTTGATGATGCACTGATTTTTCCTCTAGCACCGCCAGCAGGTCTGTGTTTTCACTTATCCTGTTAAATATGTCAACATCTATTGGATGGATTGTGTAGACATTCATAGTCCACAGAGGATTAACCCTACTGACTTTTACTCTGGTGCCACCATAAGATTACCATTTTTAACAACATTTTCAACTGGATTGCTGTGACATTTGGGGATTTAAGATCCTAATTACTTAATTAATCCGCTGATTTTTCATCCAGTGTCACCAGCAGGTCAGACCACACTAATCCTATGAAATATGTCAGCATGTATTGGATGGACTGACACAAAAATCTTTTTCAGACATTCATGGTTCATGATAATGTTTCTAAATATCTTTACTGATTCCTTGAGTTTAAGTTCAGATTGCCATAACATTTGGTATAGACAATTATGTCCCCTTCAGAATGAATTGCAAGAGTTTAGCATCATCAGGTTAACATTTACATGTGTCCAATACTTGGATGGCTCATGAAAGTCCAAATGGTCGGACGGCTGTTTACACCGGTCGATGTGCTGCCGAGAAAATAAGGCCCTTAGTCTTGTTTTTAACCTGTTGCTTCATTATAACAACAGCAATTAAAGTTGAGAGCCACATTAGTGGCCCCTAGAGGTTGCAATGCTCATTACACCCAACAATCCGAAGTTTTGAGTGGAGCATAACATACATGCTGTTTGTGCCAGAGGACCTACCTTTACCCTAGGTAGTTTAGAGGTTCTTGTATATCTCTAAAAGTTGACATTTTGTGCTGAGGAAAGAGGGAAGCTCACATGTCCAAAATAGAAACCGTCCATCCTCTGGGGAGCATGAATAGGCCCAATGTAATGTCTGTTTAATTTTTATATTTGTACAAGTGAACATCTTGGTCCAGTGATGGCACTAGAGGAAAGGGTGTCACCAAAATCAATAGGATTCATCCACACCAAAATAAATGACCATCTGACTGGCATCACCACCCTGATGCCCTGCTGTCAGCGGAGATAAAACATGACCAAATTTGGACACAGTTAACATGTTGGTAACATCACTCCTCGCCAAACCCACCTGACACTGTTCACAGGAGACAGCTCTAGTTTCTAGGCCGTGTCGCAGAGGGACCGAGTGTGGGCCAGGAAGATACGGTGTCACCCGCCCGACCTTTGCTTTACTAAAATGAAGTCAATTTATGCAGAACTGCGTCTCTCCCAACAAGTCGTTTATGCTGTCTCATCATTGCTGTAGTCTGAGTGTTCTCTGCAGCGGTTGTGGGGGGGGTGGCATGCAGAGTCAGCATGGCTTTAAAGGGAAGACAAACCAGGAAGAATCTGGCAGAGGGAGGAAGTGGCTGGGTGGGTGGGTAAGGGTATGTGTTTGTACTTGTTCCTCACTGGAATCTAAAACAATGACAATAACATAAAACACAAAGGGAGATGATTCACCTTAAGTGCCACTGAATTGACTTAGTAGAATCAGGTTACTGTGTGTGTGTGTGTGTGTGTGTGTGTGTGTGTGTGTTGCTCCAGTCAAGGTGTTGAAACTTGCGGTGTTGTCCTTCGTGGCCTCACTGATAAGACTCTTTACATTGGCTGGTCCTGTTAATGTGTGGCTTGTCTGATCTGAGAACAGTGCCGAGTCAGCTGATTCAAAAGGTACATAAGGACATACAGGTCCCACTGTAAAAACTCTTACTGCAGTTTAGTAAAATTCGGTCGGCCAAACAAACCTATTGCAGCAGATGAAAGACTCATCTTGCTTACTTCCCTTCATGCTTACTGCAGAAACCGTGGGACCCTGGTCCACCCATCTACTGTCTGGGTATATAGCACTTTGTATTTTGTTTTGAAAGCATTCTTACTTTACAGCATTTTTTCCACACCTGCTTAAAACTTTGGCACAGCACTGTAAATAAAATAAAAACAAAACTTTTCTTAATCAATGTCTTATTTTTTGTATTGAATGGGCGATAAAAAGACCAGTGTACCTGTCAGGAGCAAAATAATCCTGATGATGTCATGGGTTTGGATTCTACACATTTTTAACAGAAAGCCTGCGTTACAAAGTGGGTCAGGGGGTTACAGAGACGTGGGCGTTTGTGATGCTGTCGCGTCCCTGTCAGTGGGGACGGGATGCTCTTCACTGTTGCTGCTCCACTTTGAGTTTTGGGGTGAGGTTAGATACAAATGCTGCCTGCTGGAGCTTTGTCATTGAACGTCCTTGGCTGGGTTTCTGTCAGTCAGTGGTGCACTGCAGGGGTGTTAGTGTTAGTGGAAACACAGCGAGTGTCGGGGATCTCTCTGCCAGTAGTTAGACTGCTCTGTTAAAGAACAAAAGTTTTGCCCTGCAGCTCATGGTCATAGTACACACGCTGTCAGTCACACAGAGGCGGGAACATCTGGAGGACAATAATGAGTAATCTGTTCTTGTTACTTAATGACACTGTGCCGCTGGAAGACAGCAGACAAGACAGCCAGAACATATTTGTTAGACAAAGTGGCGAGGGAAATTGGTCCCGGGATGACCATCCTGATCACGTGCACACACGTGCATGTGCACCGTGCCTTCAAGTGGCTCAAGCAAAAACACTTTTTACAAGCAACGTATTTTAAGAGTTCTAATAATTAAAATATGACTGAAGAAAATGGCAGTTATCACGTTAATGCATGCTTTTGTTGTTAGTGAAGTGTGTCACAGGACATGGTTAATATGAACACAAATACTGATATGCTGAATATCTTGGAAAACAATTTGACTCTGCTGGCAAAATATTATTTCTGTAGGTGTCCTTCTGTATTTGAAGCATTTAAAAATGTATTAAAAACTGAACTGTATTTAAGCAATCCCCTCTCACACTTTGTAAGACAGCCTAACATTTATAACGTATTATCTTTGTCTTATCTCCTAATTTAATTCATTATATCAGATGTGGCTATTGGACTTGTGTGTTAGCCCTAGAAATAGGTCTGAAATTGCCTAGTCGCACTGTTGAAATAGACTTAAACTGATTCTATTTACTTAATGTGTGAACTTAAGTTGTGTATTTTTTTTTTTAAAACTCTGGTACACCTTCTATTACCAATAATAAAAAAAAAACAAAAAAAAAAAACAGCCAGTCCAGTCCACTTGAGGTAACCTGAGGAAACCACAAGTCCTTAAGTTTAACCACAGAAATCCCCCCCTCCTCTATAGTTATGCTTTTAATTGCGGACATCCTGCATTGAAAGTTAGATGATTAACTCTGGGTTCGGTGCCTCTTACTGGTCTGGTGAATCTGTTTTTGACAAGGAAATTATTATTTTGCTACCTATTAGATTTGAATATGAAAATATTTTGTTGGAAATGTTTTCCCCAGAAGTTTAGACTCTTGGCTTCACAATTAATAAAAGAGCCAGTGTCACTGACAAAAAAAGTAGGAACATGCTATTCTGAATGATGACACCCATATTCACTTCCAGATTGGGTCTCATTAATCGCGACGTGGCCTTCCCTGATTCGTCACGCCCCTGTCATGTGACCTTTTTCCGGATGAAAGCAAACGAGCCTCAAATACCAGCTTATACTCCTCATGTGTCACTTTAATTAACACTTCCACCTCGTCGCCGGTCTGAGCACAAAAATATCTGGTCTTACTTTTCGGCATTGCTGCTGTTCGTACATAATATTTTCTTAATCTCTGAACTAAGCAACAACCACAGACAACATGCTTCCTGTTTACACTGGCACACGCAGGCCCAGTACAGGAATGGCCATGTAATATCAATGTGTGTTCAGGCGTGTTAGTATGGACGGAGATTATTTCTGAAACATTTCTTAAATGCTTGTGTGTAGGGAGATCGTTTTTGTTTTTAAACGCCTTTTAAAAAAGTAAGAAAGTTCCTGGGACAGAAAAACTTCCTAACACACAGACGTTGAATTAGAGGTAGATACCAGCTCACGGACTCAAGCATGTGACTTTAACCGTTTCAATATGCCAAACATCAAGTCAGTTTGTATTCAGTCAGTAGGCATTGATAAGACTTACAGGGGACGACACAATGCATGCAAGTGCAGGCGTAGCTTAAACTTTTATTGTCAAGCTCTGTAAACTGTTGACCCCTCATTACATGTTGCATGTGTCTGAGCAGTTCATGCTGAAGAGTTTTGTTCCCTGCTCACATTTTTTCATTTGAAGACAGATTGAGAGGCCTGATGAGGTACAAGTCAGAAAAAAAGTATGTGGGTATTTTTTTTTTGGTTTTATGTGTTTCAGACATTATTTACAGACTGTCAGTTCTGCGGCGAGCGACCAGCCTGGTCACTGCGAAAGTCTGGCTCTCAAAAGATTTGACTCATTTAGTCTATTGACCTGAATATTCTCTCGTTGCATTCACGTGCACATATTTCCACTTCTGTTTCATCATTTCTCTTCTGCACTGCAACACTGAAAATCTCTTCTTTTTTTTTTCACCGTCTATGGAGACACACACACACACACACACACACAATGCACTAGACTGACAAGTTTTCTTTTACATAGTAAAAGTAATAGTCTCTCATTGTGTCTGAGAAGCTGTGTCTTAAGTGATTGTGATGAAATTCGGCCCTGTACTGTTTATAAGCCTTATCTGTTATTGATCAAAGCCATTTTGTCTGAGAGATACGTAGATTCTTTTGTTGAATGGTGCAATCTGTAGCCTTTTTCTGTCAGCTGAGGGGAAAACAGCGTGAGCTTATATCACATGACATTAGGTCAGTGAGTACCTGTATGGAGACATAGATTTACATCTGTGTGTGTCTTCTACTAGGGTTCAATGGAGTGTGTAACATTTTAAAATATCAGCTCTAAGCTCCTTCACTCTGGATATCCAGCCTTACACAGTCTCTACCGTCTCTTCCCTCAGATGATGCTCGTCTGTTCGGCTTCGTCCGGATCACGACGGGAGACGCCATGAGCAAACGAGCCAAGTTCACTCTAATCACCTGGATCGGTGAGAACATCAGCGGGCTGCAGCGCGCCAAGATCAGCACCGACAAGGCGATGGTCAAAGACATCGTGCAGGTCAGAGACTCCAACGTGGAGAAAGTAGCAAGTAATGGTTCTCATCATGAGAGTAAAATAGAGTGAGGCTGTAATGGTCCCTTTGGGGACACTGGGTGCGTACAGAGGCAGTACTGCAACAAAATGCTGGATACAGTTAGACAAATAGGAGAATAGGATTTTTAAAAATAACAAACCATTTGATCTCTAGATGATGTGAAGACAAAATAAGCAACAGAGAATATAGTCACAAATCAGGAAATGACGCAGAAGTATAAAACATTATGAACATAAAAATAGTTGCTCATTGCTTTTCTTAACGCCCAGCAGTTAATGTAAACTGGTGTTGCATTGTAGCGACAAGGTATACTTATTTATTCTCTTGTCGTACTGTCCCTCACTTCAGCATGTGATTTGTTTCTGCAGAACTTTGCCAAGGAGTTCATGTTTAGTGACCCGAGGGAACTGGACGAGGACAACATCCGCAAAGAGCTGAAGAAGGCGGGTGGAGCCAATTATGATGCTCAGGCCGAGTAGAGAAGTGCCACGGTCCACTGGAAGGGTTGGGGTTGGAGGGGTGTGGTCAGGGTGGGGTGGGGTGGAATAAGTGGGGGTGGGGAGTGTTGGGGCAGGGGCTGCTACCTCTTGGGGAGAGGGTGAGGAGAGATGGAGGGTTGCGCTTGACGAAAGGGAAATGCGCACACTGAACACACACGTTTTACTTTCCAAGTGAGGTCCAGCAAAGAGACCTCATGGTGAACAGTTTGTTTATTTACAAGAACACATGTACACACAGCAGAGATGCACCAGGGGCAGTTTGTAGAACCAGTATCTCAAATACTAACCAAACACTTTTATGCTGCTTAATAATGTCTTAGAAAAACTTCTCTTTAGTGTATCGTCTTATTAATTTTCTCTCAACAACAGCTTCAGAATGAATTAAAAGATTAACAGACCAGAGTTACTGTAGTTACTGAGTGTATTGCCGTGTATCCTGACAGTACTGATGCTGTTGGTGCACTCTAAAATGATAACATCTGCATCAGGGCGCTTATATACTCGATTTTAACAAAGCTGGATTGTTTACTTACTTGCTTGCATCAGTTTGTGCATCTGGAAGATTTAAAAAGTACATTCACAGTGCATCTAGGGGCAGATCAGAGCTTAACCCCTGGCTAACACTGGAACATCTCCCTTGAGACCTTCAAAGGTAACAGTAGTTAAAAGGTAGTTTGATATATTTGGAAATATGCCATTTTGCTTTTTCCCCCCAGAGATACACGAGAAGATTGATTCCACTTTCACATCTTTTCGGTAAAGTCCTAGCTGGAGCCGGCAGCTGGTTAGCTTAGCTTAACGCAAAGAAACATTGAAACAGCTAGGCTGGCTCTGTCCAGAGGTAAAAGCCCACTAACGAACATTTAATGGTGATCTCTGAGGAAGCACACAACCAACGCTCGGAAGGAGCACAGAATATGCGAGACTGTCATCATGTGCACACAAACGCATAATTAAAAGCGAGTGTATAAGCGCTCTTAAAGATCACAGACTGCCTTCTCTCCTCTCCTACCCTCTGCCCTCTCCCCGGTCAGCTCATGGTTGGTTATCTACTGTGCTGTGCATCATCATCTCACAATCATCCTCGTCTCGGCTGGGCTGCAGCTGACCAATGTGAAGTTATATCACGGCTTCAGCACAGTTTGCTTGGAATATTTTCATGTAATGAGGATGTCAATAACTTGAGGGGTTTCACTTCAGAATGCCATATTGTGATCATGTTGTAAGAACGAGCTCCTTAAAAAGGATAGATGTCTCATTTTGAAATTAAATTCTTTGCTTGCAGGCGTGCGTTTGACACCAGAGCATGCTCTTAGTCATGATACACTGTACCTCCAGAAGGAAAAGATCTCCGTTTTCTAACAATATCCGCGGTGATGGTTGGCGGCTTGCTTTGAGTAAGCCTGAGTCATAGTGCTAAGTACATATTTAGCCACCTCTTCATCTCTAGCCAGACAGCTGTGTTTGGATTACAGCCTCAAAGTCAACCACTACATCTTGTCCTGAGATGGACTGTAATTCATCCTCCTGTCTTCAAACTTGTGCTTTATGCTGTGATTCCCTTTTATCACTAGTCCAACTGTATTTGTGTGAGTGAATATTTTTAGACCTTATGTCAGAGTACTTTTTACTTTTCCTTTCCAGTTTCTGTGGGACATAATTGAGATTAGCAGTTTCTAGGGCTGGGGCAGAATTTGTAGAAGATTACATAGCATAGAATGAGAGTCTTTGTCTTACAGGAGGCTTTACGTCTGTAGGTAATATGTCATAGAAAGAGAGTAACAACTGATGTGTTGGTCCCTCAGCAAGAAGTGTGGAATTTTCCCCAAAATCTCAAAGGATTTAGAGAATGGAGATCTTTTCTTCTGGTGTCTCATCTCACGATCAACCACTTAAAGGTATCCATGCATACTGTAACCTACTGTGTTTGACTGCCTTAGTCTCCCAGGGAGAGAGGGGCATCATGGGAGCTTGCGGACACTACACTGTGATTGGCTGTCCTCCTTGCATGGGGGCAGGACTTTGATTGGCATGTGGCTCATCATGACGTGGGCCCGGGCTATCGTCCCAACCCAGGAGGAGCCATTTCTCTGTAGTAGCATCTCTGTTTGTTTGGTTTCAACCCTCCCTTCCCCCGCAAAAAAAAACACAACTGCATTTTTTTTTTTCTTGTGCTATTTTGTTTTTGAGATTAATTTTCTTTTCTCTGAAGAGTTTTACCTTTGGATTTTATTTTTAAGAGCATTGTTAACTTTGACATCGACGAAAGAGATTTTCAAAAAAAAAAAAACATTGCAAAAAAGACAGAAAGAAAACTGAGTGGGCACAAGATCAGTCATTTCAAAATAAAAATTGATGTTTTTTTTCCAAAACCTGCTTCTCAAAGTGTCTTCTATGTGTCTTTAGAGCTCACACTACTATAAACAACAGGTCTTTGCTAAGGTATTGAAAGTTTAAAAATTATTGGCATAGTGTTCCATGCTGGTTTTTCTGGTTGGCTTAGGCTCTGAAAAAGAGGATTCTTCAGCATTTCATCTGTTAGGTTAGTAGCTGTAGACACTGTGTCAAAGATCCTACTGATTTGTTAAAACGTTTTTTTTGCAAGTATTACAGCTATTACTGTGCACTCATTTTCTGTACAGTCAGAAACTCATGAAACTTGCTTGAGCTGTGTAGCCCATTATAGTAAACATCAAGTCAAATGTCAATGCTAAATAATCATTGTCCAGTTTAAATGCACATTGGCCTAAATAATAATATTACTGCTATCATTTTGATGTTCACTCTAATGCATTTTAATCAGGGCAAAATCTGTCTTGGTTTAACTGAAAGAGTAAACGCCCATATAGACAGAGAGAGGACTGAATGAATGAGGTGTAAAGACGGTCTTCCTGATTGCACTGGCTGAGCTTTATTGCACGAGTCAAGTAAGTTAGCAAGTCCAGCCGAAATTATATTGCACATATTGTTTCTGCTTCAGCATACAGAAATGATCTGTGAATCACGTGTCATTCTTTTTCATCTTTTTTTTTTTTTTTTTTTTTGAGAAAACAAACCAAAAGGAAGGAATACAGTCTTTACTTTGTGCTTTCATGAATGCTGTGGATTCTTCCGGCAACATAAATAGGAAACTTCAAGTTGTTGAATTTCAAACTTATTTGCATGTAGCAGTAATGTCACCATTCTGTTGTAGAGTGCCAAACAGCATCTGTTGATGCAACACAAAAAAAGCCACAAACTTTGAACAACCCACATGAGCCTTCAAGCCAAGGTCTCCTTATTTATGGGCATTTTTTTTTTTACATTGTATCTCAGTGTGTCTGCAGACTGCTGTCAGTACGCCAGACCATGCTTAAGAAGCATCTGCTGGTAGCCCAAACACATTTTCTCTGCCTTTAGATAATTAAATAATAATGAACAATACATTTAAATCACTTTGACATAATTTTTGACTGCAAAATGAGATGGCTAGTGAAAAAAAACGTGTATGTAGTAAGAAAGAACTGATCTTATTAAACCTCAGTAGCCCACTCCTCATGTCTGCTGGCAGCACAAGGCTACCATAGGTGCTACTAGCATAATCCACCTGAATCCCTGACCGAACTGTCAGCAGTCAAGATGTCTTGTGGGCTGTGTAGATGCTTTGTTTGACAAAGAAGAAAGTCTGGCATAAAAAAGACAATTTCTCTAGTTGTCTGGTTTTTAAAGTGTCCATCGGAAGTCCGACAGTTTTATAGTGAAATGCTATGATGCTATTACAAACCTTTAATGAAGTGTTCTTCAGTATCCCGACATTTTTTTAGATCTCCTTTTGTTACCAGTGTAGGATGAGGTAATGGGAGCATTTTGGCATTGTGGATTCAAGGTCCACACAGCAACCGTCTCTGGGAGCTTAGGGGACTCCCAGCTGTTTCCATGGTCACCGCTGTAACCGTCTTGCTTAGCCAGTCACTAGTTGGGAAGACAAAATGTCTATGGTGTTCTAATCATACAGTGTATCAGTTAGGTCCTCACTATCTGTCCTCATTCCTCCTGCCATCATTTTAATAGACCTCAGTAAATTAATATGTCACTTAGTAAATGCCAGTGATTTCAGAAGCATTGTTATGAGGTTACTTATTAATAATCAGGAGCTGTAATGCTGTTTAGCAGCTTACTGTGTTCCTCCAATGCTAAAACCCTCTCTTCCTTTCTAATTCAAACTGTACAGTGAATTATCAGATTAGTTGCGCTGTCACTGCCCTGTATTGAAACAGTTACTCTATACTGCAATTTACCAGAATAGGTAATTTGTAAATACAAATTTCAGTAAATACATTACTGAAAAATCAAGGGTGACCTGTCCAGGGTGTACCCGGCCTCTCGCACAATGCCAGCTGGGATTGGGCAGCAACCCTGCACAGATAATTGGGAATAAGTTAATGGATGGATGAATAGCAACTGATTAACACAGACCAATATCAGGTTTAAGCTTAAATAACTAAATGCTAATTAGTCCTGCCCATTATAATGCTCTATGGCAACCGGCATCACTTGCAGCTGCTGGTAGCTCCTTCAAACTTTGCTACACTTTTGTTTTTCAGCATTTTTTTCTGGCTTTATTACCAAAATACATTTTACCTATGACAGAAATACACTGGAGAAGGAAGCTGGGCTTTTTGGATTAAAGAGCAGCAGACCTTGAGACGATCCACCAGCTAGATCAACCGGACCAGCGTAGACTTAAATGGGACTCATGTTGGCCAAGCAATGTCAGAGACTGTTGTGTCCACATCTTGACCTGCCCCGTCATCAACCCAGATCAAGCACACGGCGGGCAGTGTCGAGCTGAAAGCGTAACACTCTGGCAAGATGAGAGGAGGTGTTTTACATTGATAATGCTTGGCATTTAAATGCAGTCAAGATGGACTACGTTTCCCAAATGTCAGACTTTTTCATGTGAAGGTGAAACAGTATTATCATCTGGTTGCTGCTGTTTACATTCTCCTCAGACGCAAATTTAAAAAATGCACTGCAGAATGTTGTGGGTGTATACATGTCTGTATAACGCCTTCTATTTAATTTTATTAATTTTATATGTTACAATATTTAATTTCACATGTAATTATCTGTTAAGTTCTGTGTGTGCAGCATGAAGGGACTACACACTTTCTTTTCCTTATACAACCTTGTGTTGTATAATGACAAATAAAAAATTAACTACCTTGTACCTTGTACCTTATTATTCCTTACTTTCTAACGCTCCCCACCTCTGCCAGGCACACAGGAGCGTACAACCAGGCTCCCACACAAATAACTGGTGATGATTCTACCCTGGCGCATGGTGACAAAGGGTTTCATCACTGAAGCTATGTGTCATTCTCTGATTACTTTTCCCATGAAATAAAGAAGCTTTAGGTACTTTTTCCCCTCACTATTTCCTCTGTTGACAGTTGATGGTTATTGGCAACACTCGTGGTGGGCAGTGGCATGAAAATTGTGAGCTCAATCCCCATGCCACACATTTCACTTTTTTCCCACATGGGATACTGGAATGAGAGTGAAGACCCATATCAGGGCAGAAATTGCTCTTCACGTACATATGATCTGTATTAATATTTCACATAGGAGGGATATACTGCCTGCTCATTCATGCGGCCTCTGGCATGAAAGTGGCTTCCTCCATGTTTGCATCCGCATCCCAGGGCCATTTCCCAGCATTTCCCCCCGCTCCTTATAGAAATTGTTGTTACTTGATGTAGGAGGTGGTTGCACCTCCTGACTGGGCAGTGAGTGCAATATCTGTCTCAGGGTGCCAAAGCAGAGCCTGTATATGGTTGACCAATGTTGTTAGAGGGCTGTGTTCTGCACTCATAGAACTGGAGTTACATTCAGGTACTACATTTTTTTATTATATGAGTGACAGCTGCTGGTCTGTATCAGGCTAGTTTATGGCCCCCAGCTGTTCGAACCTACACACCATCAGCATGTGTGTGGTGGGTTTTATTCTGCTACAGCTGTCAGATAAATTGATTAATGGTTTGTGTGCACGACTCACCACACTGATCAAACATGATTTCTGTCAAGTGGGTGTGTATGTGGGTCTGACAGGCTGGCTGGGTGGTGCAGTGATCTAATAGCAGGTTGCATAATGACAGAGCTCTGGTATCACTCACTGTGGCTTTAAGTAAGCTGTGAGGAAGTGAGTAGTCAAGGATGTAGTTTAAGCTCATGTTACATGTGAGAGAGTGTGTGTGGGAGCTAAGGCTAGTTAAGATGGGTGATGTGTTTTAAGGGGCTATATTAATGCGGTTAATGCCTTTGCATCATTTTCTGGAGTTCAGTTTGGGACACATGAAGAAATTAGTGAGAATCATTCCTTCTTTTATTTTGTTCTGCTGGGGTTCCAAAGAATGAGGAACACTGATGTCAACATCAGCCACCTAATGTAAACACAATACCTTTGTTTGTCTTTTAATTCCTGAGAAACCACTCAGCAATTCTTTAACCAGAGATTTCAAAATTCATTGTTCTCACATGTTCAAAGGAGGCAAAAGAAGACAAGGCTAAAGCTGTGTCTTATTTTGGATACTTCCGTTTGCACACTTCCATCTAGTACACTATGTACACTAAGTACTTCCGTTGACTGTGATCGTCGCAAAAAACACAACTCTACTTGGATTTCTGTATAGATTCATGAAATGAGATTTGATCTAAGTCACAGCAATAGACAAACACAGTCTGCTTAAATCAATACCACACAAACAAGTATATGTTTTTAAGTTTTAATTGAACATACCGCATAAACATTCACAATGCAGGGTGGAAAAAGTATGTGAACCCCTAGGCTAATGACTTCTCCAAAAGCTGGAGTCCAATCAATGAGACGAGATTGGAGGTGTTGGTTAGAGCTACCCTGCTGTATAAAAACACACACCAACCATGCCTGGAACAAAAAAGAGCTCTTACAAGACCTAATATTAAGAATTGTTGACTTGCATGAAGCTGGAAAGGGTTACAAAATTATCTCTAAAAGTCTTGATGTCCACAGTATGACAAACTCACTATAAATGGAGAAAGTTCAGCACTGTTGCTACTCTCCCTAGGAGTGGCCATCCTGCAAGGATGACTGCATGAGCACAGAGCAGAATGCTCAATGAGGTTACGAAGGATCCGAGAGTGTCAGTTGGAACAGGCTAACATTTCTGTTGACGACCCTATGATGAACACTGAACAAGAATAGAGTTCATGAGAAGATACCATGGAGGAAGCCACTGCTGTGCCCCCCCAAAATAATGCACGTCTGAAGTTCACAAAAGAGCAACTGGATGTTCCACAGCACTACTGGCAAAATATTCTGTGAACAGAGGAAACCAAAGTTGATGGTACATTC